TTCCTGAGAACAGGGTAGATATTTTGAAATGGAAACACAGAAACCAAGAGAAACATAAAAAGGGACTAATTTATATGTACTAATAAAAAGACAAAAAACCTAATTTCTTCTCAGAATCTTATACATTCAAAGATGATAGAAAACTTTAATTATGTTAAACAGAGGACCTGAGGCAACTTTGTTCTATTTCTATTTCTATGGTCTCCAGAGAAGTGATATGGAAATATAAAAAAAGGAGGAAGAAAGGAAGAAGAAGGGGAGGGAAATCACTATCACATATTAGAGGTGTGTAAGATGAAGAGTATTTAAATATAGAGAAAGAGGGGGGAGAAATGAACATTCCATGAATATTGTCTCATTTGAACCAAACAAAGGAAGATTAAGATGATGGTAGAAAATACACTAAATTCCAAAAAATAAATAAAAGGAGACAAAGAGAGGCTTAAAAGTGAGGGGAGAATAAGTAAAATAATAGTCATAAGCAAAATAAAATCCAGTATTGGAGAGGAGATCATAAAAGAAGATGAAAGAAAAAAGAATAAGAACCTGGGATGAGGATGGAGCGAGGAAAAGAGAAGAGTGACAACAGAGAGGAAGCAATGTGTTTCACTTATAAGATCTCAAGTGGTAGGCAAAATCTTTTGCCATCTTATATGTAAGGCAGACAGTGAAGCAAAGAAAGGAAGAAGCACAAGACAAACACAAAGACAGAAATACATGATTAAGAGTAATAATCGTGAATGTGAAAGGAAAGAACCCACTCATAAAATGAACTCCAATAAAACGAATGGGAGAATGTATTAGAAAATTGAATCTAACAATACAGTTTTTATAAGAAAACCAATTGCAACATAAAGATTCACATAGAGTTAAAATGAGAGAATAAAGCAATACTAATTCTGCTTAATCTGAACCCCCCAAAAAAGCATAAATAGTGATAATTTCCAATAAGATTCAGTAAATATAATCATGATATAAAAGAAAAAAATTACATTATAATTAAAATTAGTATATACAATGAATGCATTAGAAAATTGAATCCAACATGAAATACACAATGAATACATACCAGCAAATAGTTAATTGAATTACTGGGAGAAATAGATAAAATTATAATAATGGAGGAGCCTCAATGTGGCCCTTTCTGACCCAGACAAATCTGATTAAAACATATATAAGAAAGATATTCAAGATCTGAATAGAACTTTAGAAAAATGAGGGATGAAAGAATTCTGGTGATTAATGAACGGATACAAAGGAATTAACATATTCTTAAGCTGTGCATGGCACCTTTTTATTTTTGTTTGAGTGTTTTTGTTTTTTTATTAATTTATTTTGAATTATCAACTATCACTTCCATAAGCTTTTGAGTTTTGAATTTTTCTCCCCCTCCTTCTTCACCTCCCTCCCCAAGTTGGCATGCAATATGATATAGGTTATACATATATGTTTCTATGCAACATATTTTCACATTAGTGATGTTGTAAGTAAGAATTAGAAGCAATAGGAGGAACCACCAGAGAGTGGAAACAAAACACAACAGAAAAAAAAATAGCAAATAGTATGCTTTGATCTGCATTCAAACTCCATAGCTCTTTCTTTGGATGTGGATAGCATTTTCCATCACGAGGCCTTTGAAGATGTCTTAGGTCTTTGTATTGCTGAGAAGGGTTAAGTTTATCAATATTAGTCATCACACATCATGGCTATTATCGTGTACAATGTTCTCCTGGTTCTGCTCACTTCACTCAGCATCAGACCATACAAGTCTTTCCATGTTTTTCTGAAGTCAGCCTGTTCATCATTTCTTATAGCACAATGGTATTCCATTACATTCATATACTACAACTTGTTCAGCCATTTCCCACTTGGTAGGCATCCTCTCAATTTCCAATTCTTTGACACCACAAAAAGAGCTATTTTTGCCTTTGCATTGTCTGAGATCAGGATTACTATCCTTGCTTTTTTTTTTTTTACTTGAGCTGAAGCATAATATATTCTCCTCCAGGCCATTACCTTTACTCTGTGTGTACCTCTCTGCTTCAAATGTGCTTCTTGTAAACAACATACTGCAGGATTATGGCTTTTAATCCACTCTGCTATCTGTTTCCTGTTTTATGGGAGAATTCATGTCATTCACATTCATAGTTATGATTACTAAATGTGCATTTCCCTCCATTCTATTTTTTCTCTGCTTATACTTTTCTCTTTGATATTATTTTCTTTAAAATTTTTGCATTAATATGCTTTAGGAAAACTGATTTATAGTTTTCTTTCCCTGTTTTAACTCTCTCTGGTGAAAATAACAAGACTACATTTGTGTCACAGAAGGAGCTTGATAAGATCTCTTTACTATTTTTTTAAAAATATGTAAAGTATATGGAATAATTGTTCTTTTGTCTATTCATTTTTTCCTTGGGAATGAAGAACAAATGATTGTTCTTTAATTTTTTTTGGCAGGATTTCTTTGTAAACCCATCTAGTCCTGGTCAAATTTTTTCTCCCTTAGGGAATTCATGTATGGCTTCTCTAATTTCTTTTTTAAGATGAATTCTTTAAGTAATCTATTTCCTGTTCTGTTAATTAGGAAGTTCATATTTTTAAAATATTTTTTCTATTTCAATTAGATTGTCAGTTTTATTGGCACATATTTTGCAGAAAGAAGCCCAAATAAAGGTGTTTTTTTCTTCATTGGTTGTGAAGTCTTTTTTCATACATGCAATTTGTTTTTCTTCTTTCTTCTTAATATCCAATTAATTAATAAATACTTATTTTAAAAAGCAATTTCTAGTTTTACTTATTAACAAAACTTTAACTTTCAAATATTTTTTCATCTTGCCGTTGGCTTTTAGGATTTTTATTTTGCTGTTCAATTGCTTATAGCCTTCTTATGGAAATAAACCATTTATACATCAAAAAAATTACTAAAAACAAAAGGCAATGGAGGGCAAATGGATGGAAGATCACATGAGTGCTATAGAAGCCAAGGATCACTGGTGCTTCAGTGAACCAGGAAAGACTTAAGGTAAACCTAAGACAAAGTTAACATTTGGGTAGGTAAAGAAATGATAGATGATCATTCCCAGTTAGAAGAACAGTTAGTATGTGGTCAATGAAGAAACAAGCAAGGGAATCTCAAGGGACTGTGTATGTAGCCATCTCTTTTTATTCAGTTCTCCCTGGACATGGAGAATATTTTATTCTGAGTATGATCACTGCTCATGTTTATTTAGCACTTCAAAGCTTAAAAGGCTCTTTCCTCATAATAACCTTAAAGTTGGGATAAAACAACTCTGTATTTTAGAGAAGATAAAATTGAGGCAAGAGTAGTTAAATGACTTGCCAATGGTCCCAAATCATATGGGTCCATATATTTGACAACAGTATTGATTTCAACTTTTATGTTGTTGTTGAACTCTTACAATTGTGTCCAACTCTTCATGAACCCATTTGGGGTTTTCTTGGTGAGATTACTGGAACAGTTTGCCATTTTGTTCTAAGCCCATCTTATACATTAGGAACTGGGGCAAACAGCATTAAGTAACTTAACCAGGTCACATAGCTAATAAGTGTCTGTGGCCAGATTTGAACTCATGAAGACAAGTCTTACTGATTCCATGCCTAGGGCTCTATTCTCTATACAACCAAGCTGCTCAATATGATTTCACCTTTACACCACATGAAAATTTACTTTGGAAAATATGTTTATGGTTATTTTTTAGTGATAGATGTGTACGTGATACCAGGAGTTTGCATTTAACCCTGTAAACAATGAAAAAAATGGAACATTTGACTAGGAAAATAGCATTTTGCAAGTAACATTTTAGAAAGAATAATGTGGTATGGATCCAGAAGATGAACTCATATAAAGAGTCAAGGGAGGGACACCAGTTACAAGCCTACTCCAGTACTGCAGCAATGCAGGGATGAGATCATGTAGGTTTATACTAGAGTGGTCAAATAGAATGACAATGACTAAATAAATACAAGAAATATTACAAAAGAAAAATTAATTACTGATTGGAGATGGTGAAAAAAGAATCAAACATCTTACAATGTTGCAGCTGAAAGAACATCTAGTCTTTCCACCAACACCCATCATTGACTTTTCTTTCAAACACTCAAGAGCCCTTCCTAAATAGGCAAAGGACTTAACATTTATGGGGGGGAGGGGAGAAGATTTAAAATAACAGAATTGCATTAAACATGCCTTGGACAGAAGGATTGTGTAAAAAGGAACAAACTTTGATAGGGTTGGTTTTTTAGTGGCCCCAAATATTTCCTGTTTTGATTGTACTTCAACCACATGTTGAGTACCTCAACCACAAACTTAGGTGAAGTAGAGGCCAACTAGATATGTAAGGAGAGTTGTTTTGACTCTTACAATAAGAAATGAGACAGATGCTGGTATTCTTGGGTAAAACCCTAAATCAAGACACAACCAAAAGAGTGTGACTTGTAAGGAATCCCTAAGACAGAACTTGATTCAAATAGGTCCAAGGTTTTTGGTAGTGCTCACTCTCAAATGTTTGTGGAATGAAGGAAAAAGGGGGGGGGGAAACTAAGCGAAATCTTTGTCCCCTTACTGTAGCTATCAATGTTAAACTGGACTTTTATATGAACATACCGATAGTTAATTAGCAATCAAAAAATTAAGATAATCAAAAGCAATACATTGCCCATCCAACTGAATGATAATGATTTGACTTTAAGGGATACTAGACATCAAATAAGAGGTTTCCAGAAATGTCTTTTGTCATTTGTAGCAACATAGATGTCCAATGCAGAATATTAAACAAATAATATTCTATTTTTCTCCAGTTACATGTAAAGATAATTTCTAACATTCATTTAAAAATGTTTAAGTTCCAAATTTTCTCTCTCCCTGACCTCCTCCTCCCAAAGACAGGAAGAAATTTAATATAGATTGTACATGTTCAATCATGCAAAACATATTACAATATTAGTCATGTTACAAAAGAAGACACAGACTCACAGGGGAAAATGAAAAAAAAAACCCAGAAAGTAAAAAATATTTTGCTTAGATTGAATGCAGAATATTAAAAATAAGTAATATTCTCCCCATTACTGCATTCACTATAATTGTCATTGTCAAGTACAATTGTTGATTAAAAAAATAATAAAAAGATAATTCATGATTTTCTCTGTTCTTCCATTGTATTACTGCATCCTAGTAATATCAAGTTGTACTAATCCATTGGGGGTCATTTCTTCTGGAAAATGATCAGCTGGATTAGTGTATGTGACACTTGACACCACTGATACAACAATCCTCAAACATGGAGATCTCCAAAACGATCATCTGAAAAAGCTAAGTACTCAATCTCCTGTGATTAAAAAAAAAGTAACCATTTCTTTTTCTTTGTTTGGCTCATAAGGTAAATTGTTGCTTCTGAAATCCTAAGATTCAATGTCTTTGGACTACAGAAGGGAAATCTGAGGCATGATTGTAGACAAGACTGAGTGGAATGAGGAGGAGAATTTCTAGTGTTGATTTTCCTTCTTGGTCCTTGGTACAGCCTGCAGGACGATGGGTACACTTGGTGTGAGGAGTGTCTGATTGCTCAACTTTAAAGGAACCTACAACAATTAAGAAAAATAGAGTTCAATAATTAAGCAGTACCAAACAATACAGAGAAAGATAAGAGAAGTAGTTGGTGTTAGATTGACATGGTTATGATAAACACCCTATGTAGGTTGGATGTTAGAGTGTTGCAAAATATAAAAAATATGTATTAACTATATACTCAGATTTTAGTAATACTAGTCTGTTGTAAGGTAGAATCAATAATCTTGCTGAAATTAAGAGATTTTATTCACTCCCATGACCTTTAATCTGCACATTTTTCTCTCATAAAACAAAGGAATTAAAGGGTCTGCTACACTTTGGTCTTCAAAAATTATGCTATTCGCAGCCAAGAATTTTATGTTATTATTATTATAGTTAAATCAAATTAATTATGTATCCAACAACATTTTAATTGTTTCTTTCTTGGCCTTCTGTATATTTCCATCTTAATAATGGTAAGTTAATTTTTAGTAGCCTGCTCACAATAAATAGGTAAATTCTGTTGAATTAAATTTGTCCACGTGACATAGGACAAGTCTCTTCTTTGAAAATAAATCATCTTGATAAAATAAAAAGCCATACTAGGAACTGAACAAAGGATGTGACTCCTCACCTGTGTCTCTTTACAAGTTCTGAAGGAAAATTCCTGCAGGAGTCGGCAAGTTGCAACTTTCATATTCATAAGTGCAAATCTCATCCCAAGGCAGTTTCGGGGACCAGTACCAAAAGGTAAGTATACATAGGGGTTGATGCTCTCCTTGTTTTCCTTGCTAAATCTGGTTTTTCAAAATGCAGGAGAAAAGAGGAAAGTAAAAACAAACAAACAAACAAACCAACAAACCAACATCCAAGACCTGTTGAATAAGGAATCTGACTTTGGAAGAGATTCATGAATTAATCAATAAACATTTATTTAGCATCTACTATGTGCCAGGCACTGTACTAAGTGCTGGGGTTGCATGAAGAGCAAAAGATATTCCCTGCCCTCAAGGATCTTACAATCTAACAAGAAAATCAATATGCAAAGAAATCTATACAAGGCAAGCTATATACAGAATAAATAGGAAATAATTAATAGAGGGAAGATATTGGAATTAAGAGGGATTGAGGAAGACTTGCTGTAGAGGATCACATTTGAATTGAGACTTAAGAGAAGACAGGGAGGTCAGTAGTCAGAGCAAAGGAGGGTGAACATTCCAGGCATGGGGAAGATACTTGGAGCTGAAATAGAGTATTTTGTCTGTGGAACATCCAGGAGGCCAATGAAACTAGTTCAAAGTATAGGTGATAGGGAGTTAGGTAGAAAAAGAAGGAAAAGGCATTAGAGGGCTGGGCTATGAAGGTATATGAATGATAAATAGAGCTTTTTGTATTTGCTCTTGGAGGCACTAGGGAGCCACCAGAGTTTACTGAGGAAGGGGGTTACATGATCATACTTCCACTTTAGGGACCTTATTTTTCTTTAAATGGAGAATGCATTGATGTGGAGAGAGACTTGAGGCACACAGATCTACCAGCCAGCTATTATAATAATTTAGGCTTAAGGTAATGAGGCCCTACACTAGAGCTGGAGCAGCATCAGACCAGAAAAGAAAATATTTTAGAAAAATGTTGTAAAAGTGAAATTGGCAGGCCTTAGCAACAAATTGGGTATGAGTGGGTGAGAGATAGTGAGTGGTCAATTATAATTCCAAGGCTGTGAATCTGAGGTACTGGGAATATGATATTGGCAGAAATAGCAAAGGTGGGGACAGCATTTCTGGGGAATGATGATAAATTCTGTTTTGATCATAATGAAGTTAAGCTGTCTACTGGACATCCAGTGAAAAATATTTGAAAAGCATTTGGAGATCAGTGTAGAGTTTAGGGCAGGATAGATAGATTTGAAAATCATTTCCACAAATACGGTAATTAAATCCTTGGAAAGTGATGAGCTCACCAAGTGAAGTACCATAGCAAGAGAATAGAAGAAGATCCAGGTCAGAACCCTGAGAGACACTGAGGAATTCCTGTCCTGTCCTGTCCTGTTCTTTCCTCTCCTCTCCCCATGTGAGGTATCATGCCCTTACTGGAGGGTGTCTGCTCAAAAGAAGATAAATTTTGATGGATGAAACCTACCAAATTATCTTGGGGTTTACTGCCTTAAACTCAATTCACTCAGCCTATCATTGATTGGACAACAATAGGACCCTGCCCAAACACCACTCAATGGTTATTTTGGGGCCCTCCTGGCTTAGAATGAATGTAAATAGTAATTGTTTCTCTTTTGGCCAACAACCCTGAGGGTCTTCCCCTCCCAGTTTAATCTTTTTTTTTTAATTTATTAAAGGGGCCATCCCTTGAATCATTTCTTTAAAAGTCCTATTCATTGAATGGGCATTGCCTCACTCAAAGTGAGAACTTGGAAAGACCTTACCTTAAAAAGGGCAAGGTCTCCCATTGCATCCTAGGCCAAGTCCAGTTCTCCTGATCTATATCTGGCAACTGGACCATATGGCCTTGGGGAAGAAAGTGAGGGTGGTGATTTGCAAAGCCCTCCCTCACTCAAATCCAATTCTTTTGCAAGTCATGTTATCATCGCCCTGATGTCATGGTCCTCTTTGAGAATGAAGGACAAACCATGGTGTGGGGTACTGACTGGGAAAAAGCCATAAAATACAGGAATAAGAGAAAAGCCATAAAAACTTAAACTCAGTGAAAGGTGGAAGCTCCATGATGACCTGTTAAAAATCATAACTTAGACACCAGGTCATAACTTAAGATGTTATGATATCTGAAAGCAAAAACAAGAATATTGTGACCCATGTATGACCAGTACATGATGAATATACAAACTTATGTTTGGCCATAACGTTGGCTTAATGCTCAAGCTCATTACAAAGTAGAAAACCAAAAATATCCACCAATCAGTAGTGATGCACTCTGTAGCTTCTCCTCCCTTTTTCTGTTCTCTAATGTTACCGAAGGGATTTTGGGGCTTCTTTAGCTAAAGATCAACTAAACTGTCTGGCTGCTGGCCCAGACTGAATACTGACCCAGTTTGTAAGTATTCATAATGATTGATTAACCTACTATCTATAATCAATCTGGAGATTCTTGGCCTCTTCCTATAGTATCAAAAGAAGGCACTACGGTTATAAGGGAAATACAACATTCCCCAGCCAGAGGAATTCCAAACCTTATAAAGAGATGCACTGAGATAAGAGGGAAGAGAGAAGAAAAATAGGTAAAATTGTCTCAAATAAAAGACATGCACAAGGAAGAATTTTCATATAGAAAAAAAAATTAGATGAGGAATAGTACAATACTTGAATCACACTCATTTCTACTGATTCAAAGAATGGAGACTATACATATGAACTCAGATGGATATAGAAATGCTTCTTACCCAACAGGGAAGTAAGAGGAGAGATAGCCAAAAGAAAGCAGGGTACAGTGATAAAGAGGAGTGGTAGATTAAGAGAGGCTATAGACAGTTAGGGAGAAAAATCTTTTGAGGATGATCAAGGAAGAAAGAGTCAAAAAGAAAGAGGAAAAGGAAGACAAGAAGGAGAAGGAGGAAAGGAAGAAGGAAGAAGAGGAGGAGGAGGAGGACGACGATGATGATGACGATGATGACAAGGAGGAGCAAGCCCACTTCTGGCCACTTCTTAGGGCTAATGCAAAGTCATTTAATGTATATAAGCTTCAGTTCCTTCATCCACAAAATAGAAACAATAATGCCTAAATGGCTATGTCTAAGTTGCTAAAATAGCTACTGTAGGCATTATGCAGGGTTGTTGTGAGGGTTTCAGTTACGGGCTCAGTCATCAATCAAAGCAAGACACAAAAGCAGGATTCAAATCTTGATCCTGTCTCCCAACTCAATGTTCTCTCCTAACTGTCTCAATTGAAAGATGGTGTATACCTTTCAGGGCGGAACTCCTCTGGCTCTGGCCAATATTCTGGGTTGTGATGAAGGGGAATGAGTGGTACCATCACCACTGTCCCTTTAGGAATCATCACTCCATTGATCTCAACAGTTTTTTTGGCAACCCTTTCGACCCTGCCAGTTATGGGGAACAGCCTGAGGTTTTCATGTATCACCATGTCGAGATATTCCATCTGTACCAGGGCATCATACGTGACTGCTTCCTGCAAAGAGAACAAAGAGTTCTAAGTACTAAGTTCTAAGTACTAAGGTGGCTTTCACATCTACTTTTGCTCACTTGGCCTTACTCACTTGGAGTCTATACTAAGTCCTTTGTACTTCTGATCACAGGCTGTTACAGTATTACCCTTCTGAAGAAAAGTTACAAAAGCATTTTTACAACTGAACCTATGGAATGTTGGGAATCACTGTAGTTGTCAAGTTGTCAAGATGCTCATAACTTCTGAGCTGAATCAAAGTGAAATTTGCATCTATAGAAAGGTTTTCACAAAATAAGCCCTTTTGAGCCTATAACAAAAACTCTTGAACCTTAGTAAAAGGAAGTTATGCCAAGATGAATTTTGTTTTCTACTGTTCTTCCAAGTCTTCTTTTGGAACAAACAAGGTTAAGCATGAAATCTAGGGTGACACAATAGACAAAATCTACCTCCGCTAAGTTTACTTTAGAAACAGTTGAAATCTGAGTAGAGCCCTTCTGTGTCTTCATTGCTCTCCAGCTTCCACTTCTTATCCTCTTTATTTATCCTTTCACAAATGACTACCTCCTATCCACACACTAGAAATCCTTACTCTCAACTCACTACCAATATTGGGATGCAATAGGACTTTACTATTTTACAGAATGAAGGTTCTTCAAAACAGAACAGACTCATAGGAATGCATATGCAATGTTTCAGTTTAGAAGAGATACTTGAGATGGAGGCAGAGAGGTTTTCCCAGCATTCTTCCCAGCAGATAACATACACAGTTATCTATTTACAAGAGCAACTTTTATCATACCCTTCTGTTCTGAAACTTCTATATATCTTAGAGAAAATTGTAAGGCTTGGCAGGACTATGGGGGAATCACTAATTAGGATTCCTAATTCCAAGGGAAAAAAATCACACCAACCTGCAGAATAATAGAGAAAATTAGTGACACAAAAAAAGATTTGGCCCAAATCACAAAGAGACAGAGTCCATCCAACTTTTCTTTGGTTTCTTAGGTTCTTTAGGTTGTTCACAGACCATTATAGTGGTTCAGGTTTGGCTTTGCTAGGTGGTCAATGCAATCTATAGGGCTACTTTAAGGAATTTATCTACTCTCCATTCCTGCTGCCACCACCACAGCTTGGTTATTCATCACTGTTCAAAGAGTCTATTTCTATACACCCTCAATACTATCCACTAACTTCATAGGGAAATGAATATTTAAGTGTTCCCATGATGGTTATTACTCGACTTGGTCCATGAGCAATGGAAAAGGGTGATCCTAGTGCATCAAAAAGAGGTTCCTGGGTAATGAAAAACTCCAATGTCTATTCATAAAACTTTCTGTCTACTGAGGCCATGAAGAGTTTACAACCACTGCTGCCAGTCACATTAGTGACTGAATGAGAAGCTGAGAAGAGGACGGGAGAGGCGAGTAGGGAAGAGAAGGACAAGCAAGGTGAGGAGTAGAGAGGACACCCAAGCTCACAAATATATTTAGTATCAGAAAAGTTGAGAAATGGCAGCAATTATGTGGAGGAAGGGCTATGAAGTGGTTGTGTGAACTGAGGACAAATGAGCTTTGTCAGAATTTTTGCAAGGGTTGGAACTAGCTGCTGAGATATTTCATTCTTTCCAAGGAGAGCTTTATTGTAATCATAGGGGGTCTCAACATACCTTTGCTTTTTCAAACCCTGATGATGTTCCAATAACAGGCAAACACTCAATCAGCAAAGGTGATTTTGACAAAGATTCTACTAGGAGATGAGACAAATGGGTGAATAGGAAGTAAATTTGGAGACAAGTGTGAATAACTCTGTTCCTTTCCTCTCACCTTGTTGGGCAAAACTGCATCTATCTCCTTCTGAAGCTTCTGCTGGATCTCAGGGTGGGTGGCCAGCTTGTAAAAAAGGAAAGAAAGAACCGAGCTGGTGGTTTCATAGCCAGCAAAAAGAAAGGTAATGGATTGGGCCAGGATTTCCTCATCACTCAGATCTGAAATAGAGGCAAGGGAGACATTCAGACAAAGTCATCATACCTTTATTACATTCAGGCACATCGCAAGAATTTAGGAAGGACGTCTACCTGACTCTCCAAAATACCAAGAAGAGATCTGAAATACATTCATTGTTATGATAGAAATATTCCACCCAAATTTGTCATGACAATTAACAAAAGTTAATTCTAATGGAGGCTGTTCAACTCTATTTCTCCTATATCTCCTCTTTGCTTTACATACACCTTCCTTATCCTCAGTTGTTGTTTTGGGATTTAATAAAAGCAACCTTTTATTTCAGGGAATTCTATCTTCTTTCTAGCCCACAGTGTCAAAGGACAGACACATTAGAAGGCTCTGGCAATAGTCCAGAGGACAGGAGATAAGCACCTGTGGTAGTGTGTCTCTGTATGGAGTGAAGCAAATGTGGAGGAGAGATGTTTGAAAGGATATCACAGATGTAGAACTGGAAAGGATCTCAAGAGCCATGCAGTTTAATATCTTGATTTTTTGGATGAGTAAACTGAGGCTTGAAGAGGTTAAATGATTTTACCAAAGTCTCATAGGTGTCAGAGGTAAGAATCAAACCTAGCTCCCCACACTTCAGGGACCATGCTCATCCCACTCTACCACACCACATCCTATCTCTGATGGGCTCCTTGAAGGGAAGGCATGCAGAAGATAACAATAAACACTAATTACATTTACATAATGCCTGGTGCTTATATTTTGTCTACATCGTTTCATTCCACCACCATAACAAGCTTGTGAAATGCTAATGTGAGAATGCTTCCCTTCATTCTTCAGATAAGGCAACTAAGGCTCAGAGCAGTAAGATGACTGTTTCCAAATCACTGAGCTAGTAAGTGGCTACAGCTGAGACTAGAATCTGGCCTTCTGACTCCCAACTCCAGTTGCCACTTCCCCTAAAATATGCTGTCTCGCTCAGGCTGAGTTATTATAAGAATGCTTAGGTACAGCCTAGGAGAGTCTATATCCTACTTATGGTGGAAAAGTTTACCCACAAGTTTTATATTGCTAAAGAAACTCATATCTCAAAACAGTCTCTTTTTTTTTCTTTCCTGTTGTTGTTGTTCAGTGTTTTTCAGTCCTATCTAACTCTTTGTGTCCCCAGTTGGCAGATTTTTGACAAAGATGATGGAATGTTTTGCCATTTCCTTCTCCACTTCTTTTTAAAAAAGAGGAAACTGAGGCTCGACTTCCACTTCTGGGAGCCAAGATGACGGAGTAAAAAGGGAGTCACTCTCACCCTCCCCTATCAACCTCTGAAAACCCAGAAAATATCACCCCAGAAAAAAAAGCCATGGAACAGCTGAACTAAAAGAAAGATGGGGAGCAGCAGTGCAGCAGCCCACCAAACAAGTCTCCCAGTGCCTCAGCAAAAATAAGGGAAGCAGCACTACAAAGGGCCCCAGGCAGATAAGCACCCTGCAGCATTCATCTGAAAGCAGCTGCAACCCAACACTAGGTAAGCTGAACCCTACAACCTCCAACTTTCAACCAGGAGGAGATTCTGAAGCCCAGGTGGTAGAGCAGGCAAACACCAACACTTAGACCTCCCAGTGCCTCAGTAAGGGTGGGGAAACTGGTGGAAACTGCCTCAGAAAACCACCAGGTGCCTCGGCAATCTACCACAAAGGAATCTCCCAGTGCATTAGCAGAAAGGAGGGAGGCAGCACTGCAAGGGGCCCCAGGTGGATAAATACCCTGCAGCACCCATCTAAAAGGAGCTGAAGAAAGCTAAAGGAAAGCAAAAGCAGGCAACCTAGAATTGCCTGAAAGTTCCAGCCTTGTTAATTCCAGCCCAACACAAGGTAAACTGCCAAAATCCTATAGCCTCCAATTGCCAACAGAAGAGGACCCAGCACACAAAGCCAGTGACCAAGACCTAGGCTCCCAACACAAGAAGCTTGGGTCAGTTCCCTCTGTTCCCCAGCAGGAGAGCTCAATCTCTTTGAAGGCCAGGGAATAAAGAAACACCATGAGTAAAAAGTACCATAGATTCATATTATGAGAAGAGTGAAGATCAAGACAGAAATTCTGAAGAGGACAACATTGTCAACAAACCCACATCTGCAACATCAAAAGGGAATATGAACTGGTCTGATGTACAAAAAGCCTTCTTAGAAGAGCTCAAGGAGGATTTTAAAAGTCTAATGAGAGAGGTAGATGAGTCCGCAAAAAATACAATTGGCCAGTTGGAAAAAAAAAGTACACTGAAGTAAAAAGGTCCCTAAAAAACACAATTGGCCAACTGGAAAAAAAGTACACTGAAGAAAACAAATCCCTTAAAAATACAATTGGCCAATTGGAGAAGGAAGTACAAAAACTAACAGAAGAAAACAATCTGTTAAAAACTAGAACTGGACAAATGGAAACTAATGACTCTATGAGAGAACAAGAATCAGTCAAACAGAAACAAAAAGAATGAAAAAATAGATTAAAACATAAAGCACCTCATTGGTAAAACAACCAACCTGGAAAATTGGTCCAGGAGAGACAATTTAAAAATCATGGGATTACCTGAAAATCATGATGAAAAAAAAGAGCCTGGACAGTATCTTTCAGGAAATCATAAAGGAAAACTGTCCTGAAGTCCTAGAATGAGAAGGTGAAATAACCATAGAAAGAATACACAGCTCATCACCTGAAAGAGATCCCAAATTCACAATGCCAAGGAATATAATAGCAAAATTCCAAAATTACCAGATGAAAGAGAAGGTGCTGCAAGCAGCCAGAAAGAAACAATTTAAGTATCATGGAACCACAGTCAGGATTACACAGGACCTTGCAGCTTCTACATTAAAAGACCATAGGGTGTGGAACATGATATTCCATAAGGCAAAGGAGCTTGGATTACAGCCAAGGATCAACTACCCTGCAAAAATGAGCATGATTTTTCAAGGGAAGAGATGGATATTCAATGAAATAGGGGACTTCCAAACCTTTGTCATAAAAAGACCAGAGCTCAAGAAAAAAAATGATCTTCAAGTACACGATTCAAGAAAGACATGAAAAGGTAAATGGGACAGAAAGATACAATATGTTGTTAATAAGGGCAGACTGATTACATCCCTGCAAGGGAAGATGACACTTACAATTCTTGAGAACTGTATTATTACACCATGTTAAAGGAGTATACATAAAGGGGGTGGATATTAGTTGACTTTGATGTCATGATAAAAAAAATCTAATCAAGTGGGTTAAATGGATCCAAGTAACTGGAGTAGTCTAATTCTAGAAAATGTACTGAGAAAGGAGGAGGCAGAGAAGGGTAAATTACATTACAGGAAAAGACAGAAAATCCTATTACAGCAGAGGGAAAGAAGGGAGGGTGGTGGGCATTGTTTGAACCTTACTCTCATCAGAGTTGGCTCAAGAAGGGGATAGAAATCTAACTTGCCCTATAGGCAGCAGGAGAGAAAAGGGGAAGAAAAGGGAGGGGGGATAAAGGGAGGGAAGAGGCATTCAGGGCAAAGAGAAAGAAAAGGGAAAGAGATAATAGAAGGGAGGAGAGACTGAATGAGGTGGTGGTCAAAAGCAAAACACTAGTGAGGAGGGGAAAGGAGAAAGAAAAGCATAAACAGGGGGTAAAAAGGATGGAGAAAAAGACACAGATAGTAATCATAACTGTGAGTGTGAATCGGATGAATTCTCCCATAAAACGGAAGTGGATAGCAGAATGGATTAAAAACCATAATCCCATAATATGTTGTTATCTATTATTTGATAAACCCAAAGACTCCAGCTTCTGGGATAAGAACCAGCTCTTGGATCTAACACATCTCCAGAGGCCTAGTGATGGAAAATGCTATCCACATCCAAAGAAAGAACTATGGAAGTTGAATCGCTACCTTTTTTTTTTCTCTTCTGCTGAGTTTTGTTTCTTCTTTCTGATGGTTCCTCCTATTGGTTTTAATTTTACTTACAACTTTCACTAATGTAAAATTATGTTTAATAAGAATGTAAATGTATAACCTATATCAGAGTGTGTGCCATCTTGGGGAGGGAGGTGGGGGGGAAGAGGGAGAAAAACTTTAAGCTCAAAAGCATATGGAATTGATTGTTGATAAATCAAAATAAATTAATAAAATAAATTTAAAAAATAAAAATAAAAAAGAGGAAACTGAGACAAACAGGGTTCAGTGACTTTCTCATTGCACATGGATAGTCCAGAGGACAGATTGGAACTCAGACCTTCTGGACTTGAGACCTGGAACTCTGCATACTAGGCTGCCTAGCTGCCCAACTAGCTGCACAACATTAGAACAAAGAAACATGGTCTAGAGAAGGGAATATAGAATTTAGAGCTAGAAGAGAATTGAATGATCACATGGCCTAATATCCTGATTTTACCTGTAACAAGCAAGTTCAGACAAGAGAAATTATGTACGCAGGGTCACACAAGTACTAAGTAGCATGGGTAGGATAAGAGTGGAGATTTTTTCTCTTGAAAATAATTGTGGTTTTCCTACCTCACTCAGCCTCATTGTTGTCTTAGTTATGAAATGAAAAAGGGAGTTTAGTGTCACCATCTAAGCTTCAGACTAACTTGGCCATTACAAATTCAAATATACTTTCAAAAATTGTCTCCATTAAGTTCATCCTACAGATGTCAAGCATCTTTCTGAGATGGCTAGGTGATATTATAGAGTGTTTTACTTAGAGGTAAATCCAATCTGAGTTCAAATCCTACTTCAAAGTTTTACTAGCTGTGATCCTGTGGAAGTTGCTTAAACTCTTTCAGCCTAACATTCCTCATCTCTAAAATACAAATAAGAATGGCACCAAGCACTCAGAATTGTTATGAAGATCTAATGAAGAAATATATGTTAATTACTCTGCAAATCTTAAAACCCTGTAACATTATCATCATTGTTACCATTGTTATTATTATTGCCATTTGGTATATTATCTAGGCAAATTGGACCTTTTTTCATACTTCCACAGACAATGGCTTCAATATTCCAATTTGTGGCTACCCTCATTCCCAACTTACCTTTGTAAGAGTGCTTCTCTGAATTATTAGAAGTCTGAGAATCCATCATAAGCTGAAGGAAATCTACCCGGTCCTGAAAAAATTATGGAAACCACTAATGCTGAGAAAATATTCGAGAACACAGAAATTAGCTATGAACACAGCAAATTAATATACCTGCTGTAGGATAGACAAGTGTAGATCTGAATGATTAGAGATGCTGTGGCTTCATCTAAGTGGTAGAATTAGAATTCTACCCAAGGCATTTCCACAAAGTACCCAGGAGTGCTAAAGAGCCTAAGCCTCAGGTCAATAAAATAAAGACTTAAAATCAAATTCCTTAACTTTAAAAACTGTTAAGACTTTAAAAGATTCTGTCCCAAGCACCAGCCAAGGTTCATGGAAGGGAAACACTTTTTTAAAATGGAAAAACTTTTTTTTAAAAATTAAGCATTTCGTGAAATGAATTCTCTTATGTCTGACTGAAAGTATAGAAAGATAATGCTTCAAAAGTTTATAATATCATTGATGTGGACACCACTGATTGCATTCTTACTTTGTGGCTGATCACTATAGGCAAACAAATTGGTCTTACTGTGGTCATCCAAAGGACATACCTCTTCAAGCTTAGCTAGATTGGTCCTAGGTCAGCAAACATGCAATGACCCAACCTACCCATGCTTGAAGACATTGTAGCTTCCAAGCATTAACAGTAGGTTGGACTTTTCTGGCCTGGCCTTCAAGAATTAAGGGTTTTAGCCTTTCCATAAAGAGGCCTCAGAGTAGAAGTTTTGTGAAAAAATGAAAAATGTTCCAAATTTAGGCCAAGAGCACACACTGAGAATTTGAATAGTATTACTGGCACAATTATAATTTGTGTGACCATTTTTATATAACCCTTGATATTTTTAGCAGGGCCTGTTTTGGGAGTCTACAAAACAAAGGGAAAATTATTTTCTCTCTCCTTAGGTTCCTGCTACACATCATATACTATTTTACAGCATAGCATTTGGTATCTGTCTTATTCCACTTATGAGGTTGTAAATTACTTGAGAACTGGGACAATGACTTTGCCAGCTTTGTACTCCAAGAGACATAGATCACAAGGTCTAGTAAATATTAGATAACAAGAACATGGAATTAGAGCTAGAAATTAACTTAGAGGTCATCATATAACACTTCCTCATATATATATGTATATATACATATATGTATATATGTGTGTGTGTGTGTGTGTGTGTGTGTGTGTATATTGAGTACAGATGAACACAAGCGAAATGGAACACAAGTTGTTGAGGTTTTTTGCTCGACTCTGAGGATAAAGAATACTACCATTTATAATGTCTACATATTCTTATTCGAATCATTGAAAAAACCTACTTACCTTCAGTGAATTTTTCTTTCGTTCTTCCTTTATCTTTTTAACTGCATTTGTCAAGAATGTTATTGCGTCTTTTGAAAATACAGATATATCAAATTTTTTAAACAAAGGAGTAAGAAATGGAAAGAGCACTGAGGAAAAAAAAATAACAAAATCCTTATGAAAATGTAGAATTTTATGAGAGATGCTGGCGCCTTTATTTGCAGTGTATATAGGAGAAGGTACCAGAGGTACGAATTGTAATATTTCCCAATTTCCTCTTTGACATCACCAATTATCTGTGAACTGGTGGGGGTCAATGAAAAGCCCAACACTGGAAAGGAATCTCTCTCCAAAATCAGGTGTCCTGTACCTATCCCTGTTCTTCTAGCTTAATTGCTAAACTACCTATGACTGACCCAATCAACAAATAATTCCCCTGATGCTTTAGGTCACTTGCTCTCTAAAAGCCCTCCCTCACCAACAAATAGCAATGAAAGAAATGAATCTCCAGAATTCTGGAGATTGTGTTGTAATCTCTCCAGACATCAATTTAATCCTTTGTTAACAATCAAAGGGTTAGACTTGATGGCTTCTAAGTTTCTGTCTATCTCTAAATGTATGAATCAATCTACTGAGTTATCTGTAGGAATGTAAGAACCACTAAATTTTTAATTATGCATTTCTGTTAAGAAAAACCAACTTACTTATTGTAAAAATTAATGGGTCCAGAAAACTGAAACTAATTAATTTCTTGATTTCTCTGACATAGGGATCATTCTGGTTATTCAAGGAATCAACATGGACACCAAATGAAGTGCTGGTGATCACATCCATGCTGTAAGCCCCAAAAATTCTGTGGAGAGAAAGCAAAACATGACTCAGAAAAGGCACCACATCTTTCATCTCCAAGTAGAGACATGAAGTGAGGCTCTAAACCAGTGGTGTTAAACTCAGTCACTAAACCATTGCAAAGGATCCCTATGAGCCTTATACTGAAATTAGAAAAGCATATATTAATGTTACCTGTATTCTATTAAAATTTTTATTTTATTACCTATTTCATTATTACATTTCAATGTGGTCTGGCCAGGTTTGTCAACTGGGCTCTATGTTCAAGCCAGAAGGGCAAATGGACCAGAGTTGAAAATGGTCAATAGTATCTACTAGCTGAGATTTTTTCAGAAAAAAAATGTTGATTCTTTTCACCAACTAACTAGAAGTCCAAAAAGAATTCGATAAATAAATGAATGATAGCTTGACCATTCGTGGGTCAAAATGCATTGCAGAGCTGATTGGTATTATCACTTCCTTTTCCTATGCTGTCAGAGAAGATTAGGTTTCCCTCATTTAAGCAGGGGTACATTTTCCTCCTCACAGTGTGACTACTCTACTTCTAAGCAATAAGCTATCATTTTCTAAGAGCTTACTATGTGTTAGGCATTCTGCCATCTTCCCAGAATCCTCTCGGAATTCACCATTTCTTATTGCACAGTAGTATTATATCACAATCATACACCACAACTTATTCAGACATTCCCCAATTGATGGACTTCCCCAAATCTTTGCACCACAAAGAAAGCTGCTATAAATAATTTAGAACATATAGGATTTTTCCTTTTTCCTTGATCCTCTTTGGAAATAGACCTATAACTCATATTCTTCTAAATTTGATGATGTTCTTTATATATTTTGAGATATGAGACTTTTATCTGAAAAACTATCTATAAAAATATTTTCTCAGTTTTCTACATTCCTTCTGATCGTGGCTACATTTGTTTTCTTTGTACAAAACATTTTTAATTTAGTGTCATCAAGATTGTCCATTTTACATTTGTCTCTGCTATTTATCTCCTCCTCATTCATAAATTATTTGCCTATCCATAAGTGTGATAAGTAATATGTTCCTAGTTCTTCAAATTTTCTTGTAATATCTCTCTTTATATCTAGATCACGTATCCATTTTGACCTTGTCTTAGCAAATGGTGTAAGATATTGGTCTATGACCAGTTTCTCCCACATTGCTTTCCAGTTTTCCCTACAATTTTTACCAAATGAGGAATACTTATTTCAAAATATTGAGTCTTTACATTTGTTAAATACAAGGCTGCTGTATTTGTTTGTAGCTGTAAATTGTCTCTGTGCTCTGTTACATTGATCTACCTTTCTATTTCGGAACCAGTAAGAGATACTTTCGATAGTCACTGCCTTCTAATACAGTTTAAGATCTGGTATTCCAAAATATCTTTCCTTTATAATTTTTTCATTACTTCCTCTGATATTTTTGAGTTTTTGTTCTTCCAAATGAATTTTGTTATTATTTTTACTAATTCATTCAAATATTTTAGTAATTTAATTGGGATGGCAATGAATATATAAAGTAATTTAGGTAAAATTGGCATTTCTATCATATTAGTCCTTCATAACCATGAACAGTTGATTTTTCTTCAATTACTTAAATCAGATTTCATTTGATTAAAAAGTTTTTTTATAATTTTGTCTATGTATGTCCTGGGTTTTTTGTCAGGTATACTCACAGGTATTTATACTATCTAGAGTTATTTTGAATGGGGTATCTTTTTAAAGTTTTTCTTAATAAATTAAATAATAATGAATTATTCCTGGCTGACTAAGCCGCAAGTAGTAGGTGTTCCATAGATGGACATTCAGCAAAGGAGGTTGAGAAAGAAAGGCCGGATAGACAGGGGGAGAACCAAAACAGAGCAGAATCAGAAAACACAAAGAATAGAGAGCATCCAGAAAGAGAAGGTGGTCAGCAGCACCAGATGCTGCAACAGAGTGAACAAGGATTAAAATCCACAAGAAGTCATTGATTTGAAAATTGAGAGAGCAGCAATAGGGATGCAGCTGATATGGAAAAGAAGTAAGAAGCACAGAGAACTCCATCCACCCCAAAATTACTCTAGAAAATGGACCAGACTGGCTAATGATTTGGAAATCCAAGAAGGAGAAAAAAACACTGAGTCATTTGTCCAGCCCAGGTTGCCATAGGGAGATGCATAATATTGGCCAGAAATTAGCACTATGGAATATTGCAGTAACTATAGACTGCCCAAGGGAAATAAAAGGTTCTAAACAAATACTGAGACACTGAGAACTCATATAGGGCACAGAAACCTGTCAAGTGGCAGGTTTTTGCTTCTGACACCTTTCTGGGTCACAGATGCAGTGTGGAATATGAAAAGGACCAGGACACTGATGTGAGGATCAGCCACAGGCCCAACAAGTAAGAGGGGAGTTCAGAAGTGAACAATAACAACGTGCTTGAGACTCCAGTAAAAGAGTTGTTCTCAGCTCTAGCTTATAGAGCAATCTGAGGCCTACTGAGGAGTAATGATGGAAGGAATCTTAGATGAAAGGAAAGGCTACAGTTTTATCACTTTGAACCAGGAGAGTTTTCCACTTTCATGATAGTGTCTCAGTCCAACAGCAGTCTATTACTACTCAGACGCAAACATACCACAGGAAGCTGCAGAGTTCAGACCTCCCTGGTGAAGGGTAAAAGACAGATGAAGTGATCAGAATTTGGCCTAAGACTAACGGCATCAAAAGCTCATAAGTTCCCAGCACGAGTTGGCCTTTGGAGCCCAGAATAACAAAACAACCAATAATTCAAGAAAGCTGCAGCAGAACAAACCCAGATGTGTTCTCACCAAAAATGTATAGATCTTAGACCTAATATAATGTCTAAAATTAGGAAGTTGAGAAAAAAATGAACAAACAAAAGAATCCCACAATGGAAAATTGTTGTGGTGACAGAGACACTCAAAACACGAGCCCAAAAGAGTTCCAAAAACATCTACAAGCAAAGCCTCAAAAGAAAACATAACTTGGGTACAAATTCAAATATAATTTCTGGAAGATGTAGAGCCCGAAGTTTAAAAAAAGAACTTAAAATGTTTTCATAAGACTAAAAAAAACCAGTAATTTTGGGAAAATTTTTAAAACTTTTTTGAGTTTGTTTGAATGATAAATCTGAAAGCCAGACCACATAGAGTTCAGAATATGAAAAGACAAAGAAAATAGGAGCAGAAGTAGAATGATCAATTGTCAAAGGCTTAATCAAGGCATTTAGCCTCAGAGGGGAAATTCTAATGATGTTGTCCTTGACACTTGCTTTGTAAATTAAAAAGTCAAGAGAAGAATTCTAAAAGTGGGTGCTTCAGTTTCTGAGGAAAGATGGCAGGAGAGAAGCTTAGACAAGCACTATGCACTCAGATTCCTACAGCTATTGCTCCATACTTACTCTTTCAGGGTTACAGGCCTGCTTTCCTCTGCTTCCTTCCTTATGTTCTTCACTAACACATCTCCATATTGGTTAATAATGGAAAACATCTAAATGCCGAATGAAAATAGTTACATGTAGAAAACCCAATTCTAGAACAAACCAGATTTCCCAAGCCAGAAGAAGCACAATGGTATTTCATATGCTCATTTCTCACTTCTAGAATATAAAGAATCATATATCTATAGTAAAAAGAGGCCTTCTAAGCCATCTAACCAAAATATTTCATTTTAAAGGGGAGGAAACTGCAGCCAGAAAGGTTAAGTGACTTGCCAAAGGTCACTCGGGTCCTAGGCATGAGAGGTGAGATTGGAGATCAAGTTCTTTAACTCCAGCTCTCTCCATTGTATCACCAAAAACAAGGAAACAAAATATTCCCTTATAAGAAGCTCAAACTTGTGGGCCTATTAATTAGGCTTTAACTGGAGGAAATCATTGGAACATATTTTTTTAATCTCCCCTAGAGATTTTTCTAGAATCTGATCAATGTCCATTGCCTTACGTCTTTGAGTTTTCCACTTGTAAATGTGGGAGACAATATTGTTCGAATCCTCTTCCATTGGTCATCTTCAGCAATTGAAACAGCAGTCTCTAAAATCCCTGTTGGACCAAAATTCTAGAGAAAAAGGGAAAGGGCAAGATCATACTTGTATTAAGTGGTAGAATCAGAAATACAATTACATTTTCCAGTATAAAAATGAATTCTAATTATCTGTAGTTTGTTATCTGACTCTTTATAGCCTATGAACTTTGGTGACAATTACTTTTCTGAGTCCTTAAAAGCTGTGACAGTTATACCTGCAGCAGTAGTTTCCAGGCTGCATCACTACAGAGGTTGCTTTCTGGGATGATGGCTAAAGCATTGTTATTCCCAAGGTTCCTGGGTGCCATGTCCTAGACTATCCACCTCTTATTTCTCCCTCATGACATTCTGGCTGGCCTGTCACATGTGAGATAATTGTTTGACAATTGATGGGGATGGCTAGCACCTTCTCCGCAGGAGTTTTTCCCAGGATCATGACTGGTAATGCCTAGCCAAAAGCAGAAAAGGAGGCTTGGGGGTGCTTCCAGGACTATGTTTCCTATGCCCATCTGTCTGTTGGAGGTAGCTGTTATGGCCTGTGGAGCTGAAGAGAGTGAGCTCATTTTCCACAATGACTTTTCTCTTTAGCAATGGCCCTGTAAGCTCAATTACAAGCAAGTCTAGTTGTTGGGGAGGCATTGCCATTCCCAAGTTTTTTGGGCCCAAGAGATGTTGATGGGGCTTCAAATCATTCAGCAAAAGCTGCCTTCTGTCTCTGGCTCAGGTTGCATTGCCCTCAGCTAAGCTCTGTTGACGGCCCTGTCTCCTTCAAGAATGTCAATAGTGAAGCTGGTTTATAGACAGCCTAAAAACTTTGTGATCTGTAAGAACATAGATTGCTTTCCACATTGCTGTCAGCAACTGTCACTTACCCGACGATTGGTGAAGACAGAATGGCACTCTTTTATCATCACTGATTTGATCATCTCTGGATCCATGATGGCCAATACAGGTTGTCTGCCATCATAAAACCTATGTCCCAAAATGGAGCAAATTACATCAGTCACCAAGTTACACTGTTGGAAACAGAGATTGCAAGTGGAAACTATAAATTAATGGCCATGAGCTCCCTGCTGCCTTATGTTTCAATTTTGAGATCTGGGGTTGAGCCAAGAATTTAAAATAAAATTCATCACAGAATGTTTATGAAATTGCTAATGCATGCTTGAGTTAGAACCCAGCCTCAGACACTTCCTACTCTGTGACCCTATGCAAATCAGTTATCTCTTTCAACTCAGTTTCCTCATTGGCAAAATGAGGAAAAGAATACCTTCAGTATTAAAGGGCTGTTGTGAGGATGGAAAAAAGAACTTTGAAAACCTCGAAGAGAAGATGTTGTTGTTGTTGTTGTTATAGTTGTTGTTAGGTATTATGGGAAAGGGGAATAGCTTCTTTAAGAAGGTGACATTTGAATTGAGTTTTAAAGAATGGTCAGGCACTCAATAGGAAAAGGAAGACAGGAGGACATTTCGATGACATCAAACAGCCTGAGCAGTCACAGTGGCATGAGATTGGCAAGTGTGTTTGGGAGCCAGCCATCTAATCTGGCTAAAGAAGAGTTTATAGAGAGCACTGATAGGATATAAGTCTGGGAAGATAGGGTGGTAGCTTGCAAGGTAGAGTCTTGAACATCAGGCAGCAGTTTTTGAATTTTACTTAGGAGGCATAAGGGAGCCAGGGTGGACTTCTGTGAAGATATATGAACATAAACACATCATTGTATGAAGAAAAGACCAGATGATCTAAGAAAATTCCAAAGGACCCATTCAAGATAAAAATGCTGTTCTGCCCACAAAGGAAAAACTGATGAAGCATATTGTGTTTTGATTTTATTTTTCTTGGAACATGCTAATATGAAAATATGTTTTGCATGATTTCACATATATAATTATATCATATTACTTGCTTTCTCAATGGGTCAGGGAGGGACAGCATGGCGGCAAATATTATGAACTCATATTTTTTTAAATAGATGTTAAAAATAAATAAACAGTTTCTAAAAATTAATAGTTTTTAAAAGGACCAAGTAGAAGAGATAGTGAAGGTAGGATGAATCTTGTCAGGAGGCCACAACAATACTCTCTATGAGTGTTAATAACAACTTGTACTAATGTTGGTATTGGTGGCAATAGGATTATAAAATGGACTGGAGAGATGTTGCAGATGGAATTGAAAATTCCAGGAAACTGAAGGAATCTGAGATAAGAGGGAGGAAAACTAGTTGAATATAAGCTACAAATTTATGAAAATAGATTACTATATAAATCAGAGGTTTCAAACTCATTGGTGCACTACTAACAGCTTTAAAATTCTTGGTTACAGGGCAGCTAGGTGCTGCAGTGGATAGAGCACTGGCCCTGAAGTCAGAAGGACCTGAGTTCAAATCCAGCCTCAGATCAAACACTTGACACTTACTAGCTGTGAGACCTTGGGCAAGTCATTTAACCCCGATTGCTTAAATATTAAAAAAAAAATTTAATTAAATTTTTAAAATATTTAAAAATCTTTTAAAAATACTTGGTTACCGGATTAAAATGAAATAGGAAAATATAATACAACATTGGTGTTGTTGTTGTTCATTCATTTCAGTCATGTGCAAATCTTCATGACCCCATCTGGTGATTTCTTTGCAAATATACTGGAGTGGGCCATTTCCTTCTCAAGCTTATTTTACAGATGAGGAAACTGAGGGAAAGAAAGCTAAGTGACTTGCTCATAGTCACATGGCTACTAAAAATCTGTGGCCAAATTTGAACTCAGGTTTTCTTGATTCTAATCTTGACACTATATGTACATATATACTTGTACATACATATATACATATGTGTGTGTCTTCTTCACTTATGCCCCTATATGCTTATCCCTTCACACATGTGCTCAACCCAAGTGTGTGCCAATGAGTAGTTGTCCTGGCATAATTCCAGCAAAGATCCCTTCTTCTCATTGAATTTTAGTGTCATTTGTGGGAGAGTGAGCTCAAAGTTTATAGAGACTGCATAGAGTTGTGTTGCTGATTAATTTTCATTGCTATTTAGTTATATTCTCTGTTAGTTATAGGACTGTGTGTCATATGAATGACTAGTGAAAGTAAAAAATCTGTGCTCAAGAAGTAAGATTTGGAAAGGCTTCTGGCCCTCTTCCCAAATCTCTAGAATCTGGGGTAGCTAATAGGAGGTTCCAGACTGACAGGATATCAGGTGCCGCACTAATGTTAACCAGTTTATCAATGGTTACTTGTGGAAATAAAAGTGAGTTCATGTGATATTCTGTAATTTGCTGTTACATATATAATTATGTATCACCCAAAATTTCTAACATTTCTAAAAATGCCACTACTGTTTAACAACTCATGCTCACTAAGAATGACATTTATTAAGTAAGAATTATCACAAATTCATTGAGTCAAAATTCATGGGTCAGAATTAATAGGATTTTAGACAGTAAATTGAAGAAAGTGGAAGAATGGTCTTTTGAAGTAAAATTAATTTTCAAAGAAGTATTGGTTACTCTCATCACCCAATATGTTATTACTTCTCTGATCATCTTTTAATTACTAATCTTCTTTTCATGTTGAATTGTACAACAGAATGGAAGCTCCTTCAGGGAAGGAACTCTTGCATTTCTGTCATTGTATCTGCATTGCTCAGCAGGGCTTTCCATAGAAGGCACTTTAAACAATGTTTCGCTGTTTCTTCAACATTAGCATAGCCACTGAAATAAAACATAGGGTCATGTAAAGAATGCAGGACCCCAAGTAATTTCTTAGTAGGTGCATCTGTTAAAATGCTGTGGGCCTGAACTAGAATTCTGTGGCATTAAACAGATCTCCCATACCTATACCTTCATAAATGTATTTGGAGTCAGTGGGGAGCTACGACTGACTGACCATTTAAATGTGTAGTTATGATGGAAAGATTATTTAGAGTACTCACCCCCAGGTTTTCCCATATTTTTTAAAACAAGTCTTGTCAAACTCTATAAAGCCCTGTAAGAAAACATTTTAAAATCAGATATTGGCATGAATCCTCAATAATGAAGTTAAAATGCCTTATGTTATATTCTATTACTAATGCTGTTGTGCTCTTCACTTTGCCTGCATATTGTTGCCCACCCCTATTTCTACTTCTTGATATCTGACCCAGCTCAAATGTGGTCACTACCACAAAGTCTTACCTGATCTTTCCAGCAGAATGAGATTTCTCCGGGATCCTTGGTCTCCTTATTTTAACTCTAATTCCTTTTTCCCATATTATGAAAGACTGTTTAAAGTAGGCATTGTTCTAGTCACTGTCATTGTAACCCAGTTCCTAGAACACTCTAGGCACTTGATCAAATGGATTGATATACTTTATACACTTATGCTCTCACTATATTCTCATTTAAATTACAATTACATAAATATATGTCATTATCTGTACTGGATAATAGCACCTTTGGGTCACCTGTCATTGATTTTTTTATCTTTGTTATTATCCCTAGTAAAGGGCTTCTTAACCATTTTAGTGTCATAGACCTTTTAATGGTCTAGAAATGACTATGGACCCCCTTCTCAAAATGGTGTTTTACAATGCACAAAACACATCACATTACAAAAGAAACCTATTTTGCTAAAAATAGTGATCCAAAAGAATTATGTTTTCCACGTTAAGAATCCTCTATTTAATGCCTATTACTCAAAGTAAATGATTAATAGATGTTCATTAAAATGTTATTGTTAATATAATTATAATAATGTAATTATGATGTTAATTATAATTATAATTATGATTAGTATAATCCCTTTAGTTTTTAATAGTATCTTGCACTTTCTAAAGCTGTTTCACATCCATTTCATGAGTCAATGTGTCTCATTTGATTCTCACAGCAACTGATGAGGTAATTACTAAACTGAAGGACACAAAAGGTAAACGGTTACCCATGCTCAGCCATTGACTCTAGTTCTTTCCATTACATGTCACATCTTATGATGTAAAGCTTTACATGATGTCTGTCCTATCTATGCACCAACACCTGGAAACAAATATTCTTAAGTAATCAGTGGAAAGGCAGAGAGAGCTTTCAAAACTGCTCTCAAAACCAAGAAGTCCTTGGTTCAAGTTCTGACTCTCACACATGCTCGTTGGGTGATCTTGAGCTAGATAATCAATCAATTCTCTAGGTAGCACTCTAAGACTAAAAGTAGTGGGGAAAGTCAGGTAGTAAGAGCCATTACCTCACCTGGGAATTCTTGTGCCAGGTAAATCACAGGCCTAGTTGTTATCCCCTAGAGCACTGCGGGCACATGGCCTAAAAGGAAATTCCCTTTTAATCGATGGCTAAATCTCCCAGAGAGTGCTAGTAACACTGACAACCACTAAGGCAAAATTTAGTATAAAATACTCAGTATGTAAGACTTGCTAATGAAGCCTTTTGTCCAAGGAAAAGAGGGACTGAATACTACTACACACTCCATCCTATAACACTGAAAGACAAGTGCACTGTAACTTATCTTTGGGAAATCTGAGATCGTATAAAGAATCAGAAGATCCTAAAACTCTCATTTTACAGATGAGGAAACTGAGGTCTAAACAGAATAAATGATTCTTCTGAAGTCACGTAGCTAATAAGTATCAGAGCTGGGATTTGTAGCCAAGTCTCCTGAGCCGAGAGCAATTGTTCTTTCCACTGTACAGAGAGTAAAGGAGAACTCATAGAAACTCACATTGTGATAAGCAAGAGCTGTGCCAAAGAAAGGAAGAGGTGCTGGTCCTGGAATTCCCAGCTCCTTAAAGACCTTGTGTGTCCAGGTCCCATATCTATAAAGTGAAGGAAAAATACAAAGACATTACAGCCACGGCAAAGACCAAAGACATAAAAGGTGCAGTCCACTTGTCAGTAATCAGAAAGGGAGTAGCTGTAAAGGAAACTCTGAGGTAAGGTTTCATTCAATCAGATCCAAGTGCCAATGGGGCACTTCCAGAGATATGTTATGGCTCCCAAAGACATCCTGAGATATCATATAGCCCAGCTGAGATTTTTGAAGTCTCAATCAACACCTGAGACCACACATTAGGTGTAATCAAGTTTGGCAAGCCTCGAGTAAACCAACATTAGCATTGCTACTGGAATATATTTCCCCTCTGTCTGGATTTATTCCATCATTACTATAGCTGAACTCTATTGTACTGTGACTAGGACCAAGTCTCTGTTGCCAGACTTGACCCAGTCTGGGCTCAATACACCATACATATACATCCAAGGCAGCTCAGTATATGTACCTCAGACATGAAGCCCTCCTCTCCAGAACCTAACCCAGCTTTGGTGCCTCAGACACCAGACTACTCATCTTTAGAACCAGAACACAAGGCGCCACAATCACAGTTTCCAGTATCTTTCATTTACCTTAATGATCTGCCTTAACACCAAAGATTTTGATACCATACCTCTTATTGTTAGGACCTTAAATGCAGGAAGATCTATTTACACCATTCCTAATATCTCTCCTTCCTTGATATTAGAAAGAGAAATGACTGTCTGCTATGACTAGCATAATCCTACTGCTTACTCTTCCATCTGAAATGGTGTTCTTAGATGACTAAGCAAAAATCACCCACTTCCCTTACCTCTATTTCCAGTTCTTTTATCCCTGCACATCACAGACCTCCTCCTTTCAGGTAACAATCTAGCTCTGCCCCCTCTTCCATTCTGTCTTTTGGATCTGCATTTTATTATTAATACATTTCCCTTCATCTCCTGGGTTCTCACTTCCTCTAATATACTACTCCTGGTGGAGGACTCCGTATATTTTTTCATTGTTCCTTATTACCACTCCTAGATCCATTCTCTGTTATCACTTAGCAACTTGTCTTACTTTGAGTTTTATTCTTTCCAGATATATCTTACCAAATCCAGCTCTGGAAGCAGTTATGCATTGTATTACAGCTCTCTTTTTGCAAGGACTTCAGACTCTGTCTCACTCTTCCCCCGCAATCTTACCTTATACCTATAAGTGCAATCAAAATTCAGTTTGGCCTCAAAACACCCTGGCTTCTCTATTTCCTTAATCTCAAGTCCCATGTCCTATACCTTCATTTCCCATCACTCATATAAGAGGATAATAACAACCTTGATCTCATTATCAGCCAAATATTCAATACTTCTGTGGTCAGGGATTCTGAAATTGCTTTATATGATCACATCTTATAAAATCTTTTGTTTCCACATCTTGTTTTTCATAATCTTATTTTTCATCATTACCTTCAACTCTAGTCCCCAAACCACTGCCATTCAGTAACCTCCAAAGTTCTGACTTCACTTTTTTAGTAAAAATAATAATTTTATATTAACAAGTGTTGGCTCAACTTCCATCCTCTTCACACACACACACACACACACACACACACACACACACACACACAGAGAGGGGGAAAAAAAGGAAAGCTAAAGCTCTATAACAAATAAACAGTCATGCAAAACACATCCCCACATTTTCCATATGTGAAAATGCATGTCTCTCTCTGCATAGCTAGTCCATCACCTGTGGCAGGAGATGGACAGCATTCTAAATTATTTATCCTTTGGACTCACAGTTAATTATTATGAGGATCAGAGTTCTTAAGATTTTCAAAATGGATCATTTAAAAATATCATACTAGCTATTCTTCTGGTTCTTCTCATTTTGCTTTGCATTCTGTTCAAAGTGAGGTTCAAGTCATACCCTTCCCCCATTCTTCTTAACTGATTTGGATTTCTACTTGCACCTCCAATTATGGCATAGATCCCCTCCATTCCTCTTCTTTTCTTCTCCAGGATATTCTTTCTCTTTTCCTTTTCCCTTCCCCTTGAAGATCATTAGATCATTACAAAAATCACATCCTAAGTCTCTATTGTTTTTGACCCCATCCATGACCTCAGATGGCACTACAATTCTTAGGAGATATTGCATCCTACCCCTCCCCCTAGTTTAATGCAAACATCTCATTCATATAATGTCTTTCCTGATTGCTCAGCTTTTTATATTTCCCTTTACTCTCATGTTCATAGTTAAAAGTTTCCACTGTATTATAGTCTTAAAAAAATCAAGAATGCTTGGAAAGACATCAAGGAGCCAAGATGGCAAAGGAAGCAGGAAATCAACTGAACTCTCCCATTTTCAACTCCAAATAACTATAAAATAGCACCCCAGAATGAATCCTGGGAATGGCAGAACTGGCACAAAGACAAGGGAGCTCACTCCAGGATAGGAAAGGTCTTGGCAAGCAAGCCAGCCACAGGCCCTGAAAAGCACCAGTCAACCCTCAACCTGACCTCTGCACAGCAACAGCTGAGCACTAAGATCCTCCCATAGCCCTGACACAGAACAGGGCTCTCCCACATGCCTCCCCATAGCACTAGGCAAATGGGTGGAAGCTGACACCAGCTGTTCCTGTAGTCTCCAGCAGTGCCAGCCACCACACCAATCCACCCCATCCCTTCAGCTCAACATCAGGTACAAAGGTCCCCTGCGGGCCTCAGGGCAGCACCAGGCAGGTTTGCTGGGAAGTGACATGCCATGGACTGTGCTTCACTCTCACCCAAGTGCAGAAGATTTTTTTCCTGATGACATTCTAAGTGGTCATCAGCTGGAAACTGTTCCACTGCGCCCTTTTGTGGGTTTTGATACTCCAAAATTTGTTTTTAGACATTATTTAAAGGTCTTTGGAGTAGTTTGGGGCTGAGGTAGTCCACTGATTCTTAAATGATCTCTCCTTGATCTGTTATCTACATCAGTTTTTTTTATATGAGATACCTTATATTATCTTCTATTTTTCTGTCTTTTGGCTTTGTTTGAACATTTCTTATCTCATGGAATCATTATCTTTGGTTTGGTCCATACTAATTATCAAGAAGGCAGTTAGTTGGGTAAAATTTTGTACCATTTATGCCCAACAGGCAATTCTCTCCTTCATGGCTCTCATTTCTTTTCCAGTTCTTTCCTCTGTCACTCTCAATTCATTTATAATACCATTTGAAATTCATTTTTTTTAGCTCTTGCATTGCTTCTTCTAGGGATACTAATTGATTTTGCGGGCACTGTTTATATATTTTGATTAATCTTCTCTTCTTGGTTTGTGGCTTGAGTATCCTTGTTCTCTTAATAACTCTTTTCTTTTTGTTTGTTTAGTCATTCCTTCTCTCACATGTTCTCAGCAACCTGGCATTGCAGGTTAGAGATCTTTTGGAGTTGAGTGTTTGTTGATAGACCCTCTGGAGTCTCCCATAAAGCTTTCCTGTGTGGAGTACTAAGTCTGCAGTATACTCACCTGGAAGCTTTGGGCACTGAGTCCCTAGTGAGTAGGTTGTCCCAAGCCCCAAGTTGCAAGCCTGGGGTTGAGCTGAGTTCAAGAACATTTCTAGGTGTCCATGTGCTGCAAACCTTCTTCAGAGTTTCAGGTGAAGATTTCAAGCTCTCTCTCCAAGCTCTGTCCCAGGGCTGGGATCTGAGATCCACTCCAGGATAGCCTAACTTGACTTGTATTTTGTCTTATGATCTCTTTATTCAGCTAAAGTTGATGTTTCCAATAGCAACAACAAGTTCTTAATTGTGAAATTAAAATCAATAACTTTTTCTCAGTTTTTAAAGTTCTCTCTTAACATTTCTCTCTATTGACCATGCCCTCCTCTTGGATCCTATAGCTTTAAAATCTCTAACATGTTCACAACTAATTGTGACAGGATTTATGAATCCACACATAAGAAAAGGGGGAAGATGTGAACTCCTCTTTCATGATTTTCTTGAACGACTTCTTCAGAGCTAGGTGACCTGGTAGATAGAACACTGAACCTAGAGTCAGGAAATCCTTAGTTCAAATACAGCTTTCAACCATAAGTAGATGTATGTTCCTGAGCAAGTCACTTAACCTCTCTTTGCCTCAACTTTCTGACTTGTAAAATGAATGTAATAATGGTACCTAGCTTTCAGGATTGTTGTGAGGATAAATAAGTATATTGTTGAAGTATGTACCACAGTACCTAGAATACAGTACATGCTTGAAAAATTATTTCTTTCTTACTTCCACATTTACTTTCTCTTTTCCTGCCTTCCTAAATTCCTTCTTTCCTAATGTCCTTTCTTCTTTCCTTCATTATATACTGTAGCTTACTCAAGCTTATCATGCACCCATACAATATGCTATGGGAGTCCCACAGCTTTATTCCTCAAAGACTTTTCTACTGAATAAGGAGACAGGTTTGCTGAAGGTGTTTGACATTGCTAGGGGGGGTGTTCAATAACAGAGTGCAAAGCAAGATGGTATATGGTGAGGTGTCCCAAGTGTTTCCATTTGTAGATGCATTTGAAGTTATTGTCCTAAACCAGAATATATTGCAGAACCTTGTAGTTAGATCCACAGTGGTCCTACCCACTTTTGGTGGGCTTGTGAGGAATCAGATAACCTATCACATTGTTGGTGGGATTTCAGACTCAAGAAAATATTTTGGAGAGCAGTGTCCCAATATGTCATAAGTCACAAAATTGAATATACCTTTTAATCAAGCAATTCCTCTATCAGGAAAGTGTCACAGAAATAAGCATAACATGTTTAAATTACTTATGCACATAAAACATATTCATTGGTCCTTTATTATGAAAAGAAAAAATTAGACTCCGATATTATTAAAATTGGCTAAACTAATTATAGTATAGTATCATAATCAAATATAATAGAACTTCCCACAATAATTATGGTTAATGTTCACAAGAAGATATGGAAGGACCTTTATGTGATGAGATATAGCAAAAGCAATAAAACCGGAATTGTTACATCCTGACACTGTAACTTCACCTACATAAAAGAGAAAAAAAAAAAAAAAAAAAGAATGTGAGCTCAAATGTGGTAAAAAATTTCTAGCAAGCCTGAATGGGAACTATATTGTTTTCTTTCCTTGCTATTTATATATTACTTCACCTGATTCTACTTCAGTATAGGCTGGAGTGTGCAGTAAGATTATGACTGTCGTTTCAGAGGCTCAACTTATTAAGTTTTAACTTCTCAATAAAGTTTCTAAAAAGTTTTTTGAAGGAACATGATTGTCATAACATTCATCATCCATATATTTAACGTTGATATTATTTCCTCATCTAGAGTATAGTTTCCCTTCTTTTTTGCTCAGCATATCTGTTTGCTGATTAAAATCTCAAAGTAATAGGTTCCATACATATACCATAACATATGTTACTTTATATTATATTTCTATTGTGTTGTGTTGTGTTGTGTTGTGTTGTGTTGTTTGTTTAGGCAGGCTACTTCTCTTGTCTTAACCTTAAGTTCCTCATTTGCCAAATGAGGGAGAAAATTAGCAAGTTGTAGTAGATTATCCCCAAGTTCCTTCCCATAGGATAGAGATCCTATGTTCCTCTAAACACTGTAATACATCATTTCCTCAGCCACCAATGGCTCAAAGCAGCACACATAGACAATTCTGACTTTCAGTATGGGACTTAGGATGATAGAATCATAAATCTAGAGTTTTAGGAGGCTTCAGAATCCACCTTCATAGTCATGTCACTACATGAATGAGGAAACTGAGGCTCAACAATTTAAGATCCTTGGATAAGGTCACATCGGTAAGAGAGTATCAACAGAGAAAGCTCAGTTTAGATCCTTTCACTGCAGATTACATTATCGTTCTAGTTTGCTAGGGGCCTCCTAAGCCATCATTGTTGCTGGGATTTTGGCATGAATGTAAAAGGTTCTCGTGGCATTTAATATTCTTATTTCCCCAGTCCTATAACTTTCTGATATTTCCTGATAGCTCTAAGGAAAAAACCTGGATGTAGGGATGACAATATTAAATTATCTCCGTGTTCAACAGCAACGTCATTTTTTCCAGACTAGTCAATTTTTATGTCTATGTGGAGAACTACCAAAATCCTTCCATTCACTTACAGCAGATTTTGAAAATCTTAGTACACAATGGGCATATGAATATCAGCTTCTACTACCTCACTAAATTAGCATCATTCAGAGTCTGCAGGAAAAAATACAAAGAAAAATTAATGAAGTTCTGTGAATTTTTCTTGAATATTTAGCAGTGACTGCTGCCTCATTTTGTGGTAAACTAACCAAGAAACCAGGAAATAAAACCTAAGCAAGAAAAGTTTATATTCCATAGAGCATAATTAAATGATAGACCTTGAAGCCATCAGAAGCCTAAAAAAATTAAAGACAACAAACGCTGAGGTTTTGGGTGTTGCAATGTCTGCAGTTGAGTCTCTACTGGTTCTCCTGCCAGGACAGTACCTTGGGTCCCATCAGCTTGTGAGGATTGAAACACTAGACATAATCGATCATTTTGGTATTTTTGTACAGAACAGCTTCCATCACTGACATGTATCCATGACCTTGACCAGACTTCTAGTTCTCTGCCTTTCTAGGATGGTGATTAGTTAAAAGAGATAAATTGAGCAAAACAGGAAAACTCAACTTTTGCCAATGTTCCAACCCCAAAGCCTTTGAAAAAGAGAATGCAGAAACATGTCATGCAGAATCCCTAGAAAGTGACTGATAGAAAAGACTAGTGTGTTTGTCAACATAAGCATTAGGGGGAAAAAAGCTCTAACTTTTTGGACAAAAGGAAATACTTTTCAAATTGTGAAAAGTAAAATTATAGGAAGAAATATTGGAAAGGTACCAAGAAAAGCCAGACAACTGACATGAAATCAGGTTTCTTTAAGGAGTTTTCTTGGCTTTTAAATCACTTAACCTATACCGAAGGAATATCCTCAAAATCTATTCTTTTGGGAAAAGACTATAGAGCCTTTGATCAAAGAGTTTATAGTTTTCTCTTGGTACTTTTTCTAACAAACTGTGTTAATTCACTTATATAGAAAAAAGAAAGTCAGCATTTTCAGTTACAGACATACTAAATAACCTATATATCCTTATGTACACTATACAAAAAGTAGGAGCAACTAGAAACCAATCATTGTGAAATGTCCTGTGACAGTCACAAAAAGCTGAGTCTAATATTTTGATAAATTGTAAGGGGGAAAAAGGAGGTTCTCACTTACAGAAACAGGAGAGTCAGAAAGAGAACAAGCAGTGCCCAGGTTCCAGCACTTAAGCTTGGGATGATGTCCATTGTCACGCTCTCCAGTTCGCTTTTTATTCTTGTCTCTTTTCCTCGTCTCTGTTTGTGCCTTTGTTCTTAATACCTCGACTTCAAGTGCTGTTGTAATTCCCGGACAAATTCTGAAAGGAATATATAGACATTAAGACAGAGGGTGGAATTAAAGGCACAGCCAATGAAACTATGATCCAGTAGGGGAGAAAGTTCATGGAATTCTGTGATGGTCAGTAAAGTTCAGAAAATAATAATTAACCTTACCCATTTTAAGGGCATAACAGTAATGATAAAAAAAAATCTTTAATCCTTATCAGAAACATTGCTGACAAAAACAGAGTGAAGTCAAAGTTTTATGGAAGTCTAAAGTACAAATGAAGCACTCATCAAGAATTTATAAGTACCTATATGTGTCAAGCATTGCACTTAGTCCTTGGGGTACCAAGATGAAATTTCTGCATATGGCAATTAATAATCGTATGTCATGAGTCATTGAACAATAAAAAAGAGGTGAACTCAGATTCATTAGGCATGTTTGAATGCAAGGTCCACCATCTATGGCCTCTATGACCATGGAAAATTTGCTTTACATAACAGGATCTAACACTTCTCATCAATAACGAGAGACTCAGAGAGCACAAAGGACTCTTCAAGCTCTTGGTGTATCATCTTTGGGCCTTTACTTTGTCATTTGAGAAATGGGGAAAATAATATTTATAATACATTCCTAACAGGTTTTTTGTGAAACTCAAAAGAATTAATGTCTACAAAGTGTTTTACCTTTTCCTTCTCCAGCTCATTTTACAGATCAGGAATTAAGGTAAACAGGGTGAAGTGACTGGAGCAGGGCCACACAGCTGCTAAGTGTCTAAGGCTGGATTTGAACTTTGGGTCTCCTTACTCCAGACCTGGTGCTCTATCCACTGCATCACCTACCTTTCTCTGAAGACCTCCAAGAAGGCAAACCTTCTATTTCTGGAGGCAACTCAATTCCAATTCTGGGTAGTTCTAATCCTCAGGAATTTTCTCTCTCGGTAAGCCAGGATCTATCTCTCTGTAACTTTCATGATTGGTCCTAGTTCTGCTCTCTGCTGCCCTGTAAATCGAGTATAATTCCTCATCAATGCAACAACCCTCGAAGCATTGGAAGACAGTTGGAACACCTTCCTAAAACATTTTGGTTAGACTGTTCTTCCAACAGTTCTTATCTCAAAATCTGGAATCTTCGTCATTATCAAAAACTGGTGACTATGCTCATTTGTTTCTCTAAATCATGTCCCTAATTTTTCCACTACTCAAGTTCTCTATTTGTTACCCAATAGAAGTTGTTGTTGTTTTCACAAATATGTTTTTGTATGGGGCAACTAGGTGGTGCAGTGTATAGAGCTCTGGCCTTGGAGTCAGGAGGACCTGAGTTTGAATCCAGTCTCAGACACATAACACTAGCTGTGTGACCCTGGGCAAGTCACTTAACCCTGATTGCCTCATCAAAAAAAAAGAAAAAAACAAGCAAACAAATATGTTTTTGTAGTAGTATAGTTTGAATTCAGGCTGAGCTCCTTTCCTTTCCATTTTTTTTCAATGATTCCCTGGATATTCTTGACTTCTTGTTCCTTATTCAACCAGTTACACTCCCTATATTTGACTCTACCATTCTCATACTTCTGTTCTGGATACCTTCTCTCCCACTTCCAATCACTCCTTTTTTTTTCACCTTCTTTTTGTGTATTGTCTTCCCCAATTAGACTGTAAGCTCTTTGAGGGAAGAGATTATCTTTTTTTTACTTGTATCTATAGCACTTAGCTTAATTCTTAACACATAGTAGGTTTTTGATTGTTGGTAAATTATATTGAATTGAACTTCAAATGAATTTTATTATTATTGTTTCAGCTCCAAGAAGTGATCCTTTGGTAATTTGATTAGTGTGGCCCTGAATAAGTAAACTAATTTATGTAATTTTCTTAATTTTGTTATATTGGCTTAGTTTACCCATGAATAATTAACTTTTTTCCAATTATTTACATGTAAAATGTTTATAAGATTTATAAATTATTAAAATATTTATAAATTTTGCTTTATATACGTAAAAGAATTGAGTTGCATTCTATTTCACTAATTTTTTGCATGTATAAACTTTCAAGTCAATGAAAATAATAGTGTTAACACCAAATAATAATGGTGATAATAAAAATAATAATAAAATATAATATTGGTTGATTTTATTGTAACTATTGTCAACTAAGTTTATAGTTTTTCTAATTTGGCACCTAACTTGCATTCTTCATGTAAGTCCAATTAGTTGTTTATAATATATCAGCTTTGGGATATATTATCTTTTTGATAGCATTTGCTTTAAAATTTTTGCATCAATATTCATTAGGAAAATGGATACCTAGCTTTCTTTCCTCATTTTGACTCTCCTGGTGAAAGTATCAAGAATACATTTGTGTCATTGAAGGAAATTGGTAAGATCTCTTTACTATTTTTTCAAATAGCTTAGGCAGAATATGGAATAATTGTTTTTTTCTATTCATCTTCCTCCTGAGATAGAAAAGCTTTTACAAGAATAATTGTTCTTGAATTTTTAGTACAGTGTTTTCCTGGTTGGGCTCACTTCACCCAGCATCATTTCACATAAGTCTTCCTAGGTTTTTCTGAATTTCACTTGCTCGTCATTTCTTATACCATAGTAGCTTTCCATTACATTCATGTTGCACACTTTGTTCAGCCATTCCCCAGTTAATCAACATTCCTTCAATTTCTAATTGTTTGCTGCTAATTTTTAATTCCTTAATTGCTAATTGTCTTTTTTAATGCTGCATATCCAGATTTACTCTGCCTCTTGCCTTCTCCTTCCCTTATGAAGTGGAATTTTCATCTGTAAATCACTGCTTAACACATCTACCAATACTGAGATGCTTTGATTAATTGATTGAGAACTAAAGAAAGATAACATACTATCTGTCCACCTTGCACAGTGTTAGAACCACTGTACCACCATTATGAGGGCATTTGTTTTATTTTTATGTATTTTAGTTATGTTTCCAGGAGTAGTAGTGCATTTGTGTTTATCAATCACTGACAATTTTTGAAAGCCAACTAAAAATATTATACTAAGCTAGACTTGGTGAGGGATTTAAGTGGAGATTAATACAGGATCTTTTCTTTTGAAGACCTTATGGAAAAAGACATTTGTAAGTACAAACAGAAAGCAGATCAAGTGGATGGAAGATCACATGACTGACATAGAAGCCCAAGATCACTGGGGATTCAGTGAATAATGAAAGATTTTAGGTAAATCTAGAAGAATGTCATCATTTGGATAGGTAAGGAATTGATGGATGGTCATTCCCAGTTAGGAGAACAGTGAGTTTGTAGTCCATGTAGAAATAAGGAAGAGGATTTCAAGGGATTGTGTATATAGCAACCTTTTTTATTCAATTATCCTTGGATGTGGAAAATATTGTATTCTGAGCATTATCACAGCTCATGTTTACTTAGCACTTCGAAGCTTAAAAGATGCTTTCCACATAATAACAAGTATTATCTCCATTTTATAGAAGATAAAATTGAGGCAAGAGTGCTTAAATGATTGCCAATGGTCACAAAGCATCAGGGGCAATAAATTTGACAACAGTATTGATTTCACCTTTTTTGTTGTTATTGAGTTCTTGCAGTTGTGTATAACTCTCCATGACCCCATTTGGAGTTTTCTTGGTCAGGGTACTAGAAAAGTTTGCCATTTCCTGCTCAGCCCAGTTTACAGATTAAGAACTGAGGCAAGCACTGTTAACTGTTTGGCCAAGGGTCACATAGCCAGTAGGTGTCTCAGGCCAGATTTGAACTGATGAATATGAGTCTTCCTGATTCCAAGCAAAGTACCCTATCCACTAGCTGCTCAAAATGATTTCACCTTTATACTACATTAAAATGTACTTTGGAAAAAAGGTATGTTTATGGTTACAAGGAGTTTGTATTTAACCCTGTAGAAAATGAAAAAATGGAAAGTTTGACTAGGAGAATGGCATTTTGCAAGTAACATTTTAGGAAGAATAATCTGAGAGCGATCCAGAAGATGTAGAAAGAGATTCAAGGGAGGGACACCATCTACTAAACAAATACAAGAAAAAAAGAAAGAAAAAGAGACAAAAGAAAAATTGATTACTGACTGGAGATGGTGAAAAAAGAATCAAACATCTTAGAATGTTCCAGCTGGAAGGACATCTACTCTTTCCACCAGCATCATTTTATACTCTTTCATTGACTTTTTTTTCAAACATTCAAGACAAAGATTTAACATTGATTGTGGGGGGAGAGATTTAAAATAAAAGAATTCCATTGAACATGCATTGGTTTGTTTACAAGCTTAGGTATAAATGCTTTTCTTTCACAATTTTTGTCATCTGAAAGAAAGCCTATGCTTTGTTTGATAAATTGTTAGCATAAATATTCATGTGGAAATTGAAGATCCTTTTGCCATTTGCATAGAGAATAAGAAAGGAGACAAATGCTGACTTTCTTAGGTGAAACCCTGAATGGAGACACACCCAAAAGATGGTGACTTCTAAAGAATTCCCAGGATAGAACTTGATCCAAGTAAGCCCAAGGTTTTTGTCAGTGTTTACACTCAAATGTTTATGGAAGGGACTGAAAAGGAAAAAAGAACTTACTGAACTATTTCATGGTTAAACTATATTTCTATATGAACATTCTGATCAGTTAATTGGAAAAAAAATAAGATAATCAAAACCATCCAAATTGCTCATCCAACTAAATGATATTGAAGTGATTTTAAGGGATACTAGACATTAAACAAGAGGTTTCCAGAAATGTCTTTTGTGGTTAGTAGCAGCATAGTTGTCCAATGAAGAATATTAAAGGAATGACATTTTATTTTTTGCCCAAGTTACATGTAAGGCAATTTTTAATTTTTTAAAATTTTCAGTTCCAAATTTTCTTTTTCTCTCTTCCTCATCTCCCATCTCCCAGAGACAGGAAGCAAGTTGATATAGGTTATACATGTTCAATCAGGCAAAATACATTACCATAGTAGTTATGTTATAAAAGAAGATGCATACCTAATGGAAAAAAATGAAAAAAGCAAGTAAAAAATTATGTGCTTCAATTGAATGCAGAA